ATATTGCACAATGCATATGGATTTATCGATTCTTATTCCACTCACTGCCTGTATTTCACTGCAGTTACTTAGCCTCCATAAACAGCAGTTGCTGAAATAAATTGACCACATAGAAAGTGCATTGTTTCTAATCAGTTGGATCTGTCTGATATGCACTGAATGGACCTTTAGCCCCAGTGCACCCTGATGCGCTGCGGAATTTGCAGCGTTTTCTGTGCAAATTCTGCACCGCATCTGAATCGCACCCCTTTCATGTGAACCGCTGCGGGTGTGTATGTTAACAACACCCTGAAAGCAGCCTGCAAAACGCAGTGTGATGTGCAGAATCGGATCACATAGGTGTGAATACCCATGCGTTTCGATTGTAGTGCGGACCAAAAAAAGGGTCCTGCACGTTTTTGGTGCGGGTGTAGTGTGATTAGAGCCACACAAAATGTATGGCTCCAAGCGCACCACACACAAATTGCATGTGATTTGCACAGGAATGCGGTGCGGTTCCTGTGCGAATCACATGCGATATACCGCGCCGCATATATGTGAACCCATGTTGACAGCAAAAACATTGTGCAGCCCTGCCTAACAGGAAGCGCAGCCTGCACATGTAATAAGCAAATATGGCTGCTCATATACAAACTATATACAGAAAGAGGTTTAGAATATTAACAAACACTAGGATCATTTGTGGTATTTGCCATAATAATTATTTTCAGGCTTTCATTGCGAAAAATAATAGTTATAGCTTAGCGACTTGAGCTAAATGGTATTTACATTACAGGATAAGCTCCCCTTTCCTAACATGTTACATGTTACACCCATACTCAGGGTGTAACATGTTACAGATGTAGCTGATCACAGGTGCAATGCTTTGCACGCTCATAGTAAAAAAAAATATTATAAATGCACATTTTTTTATTTGCAAAATGATTTTCATTTATTATTTTTTTCATAAAAGTGAACTTATCTTATAAAGCAGGTGTAAATATTAGTCTAACGCTATGTAATCACTAAGCTGCTAAGAATAGTCACCTTTCAGAAGTTCCATGTTCCTATCACGGTCCAACACCCAATCACCATTATGGCATTGAGTCATGTGCCATGGCCGAGTTTGACTTCCAGAAGCCAAAGGGAGCCTGGAGTTGCTGATAGGTGGTTATTATGCATTTTTTAGTAGCTACAGAGGTTATGTTTAGACTAGGGTTTATGTCTACTCTACCTGGTCATGCTCAGATGTTTATCTAAAAAAAAAAACAATAAAAAACTATAATGAAAGACTTTTAACGATCCAGCTACAGTAAGCATGTTGGACGGCAGCTCCCTCTTGCTGTAGCATATATATAACTGAATCATGGTTTGGGCTATATATTAGCATGCATTGAACATAACACTAACAGTTTGTTTTTTGTTTTTTCCTCTTAGTGCTGCTTACCTGGGTCAACTGTGCCAGTGTGCGATGGGCCACTCGAGTTCAAGATATGTTTACAGCTGGAAAGCTGCTGGCATTGGGCTTGATCATAATTATGGGAATAGTACAGATCTGCAAAGGTATGTGTGCTATGACTGTAGGTGAATATTAAAACATCTTATCTTACATAGACACCAGTAATGCTACCACTTAGTAATTTAAAATATGTTCTAAATTCACATGTAAAAATGAAGATATGACCCTCGGCACAATTTCTGACATCATTTGATACATGTGATTGGAACTTTGCTGATAGAAGCAGGAATGGTGCACCTGCAGAATCACATGTACAGTGCCTTGAAAAAGTATTCATACCCCTTGAAATTTTCCACACTTTGTCATTAAAACGTAAATGTATTTTATTGGGACTTTATGTGATAAACCAACATAAAGTGGTACATAATTGTGAAGTGGAAGAAAAATGATAAATGGTAATCACAATTTTTTACAAATAAATATCTGGAAAGTGTGGTGTGAATTTATATTCAGCCCCCTTTACTCTGATACTGCTAACTAAAATCTAGTGGAACCAATTGCCTTCAGAAGTCACCTAAATAGTAAATAGAGTCCACCTGTGTGTAATTTAATCTCAGTATAAATACAGCTGTTCCGTGAAGCCCTCAGAGGTTTGTTAGAGAACATTAGTTAGCAAACAACATCATGATGGCCAAGGAACACACCAAACAGGTCAGGGGTAAAGATGTGGAGAAGTTTAAAGCGGGCTAGGTTATAAAAAAAAATCTCAAGCTTTGAACATCTCACAGAGCACTTTTTTAATCCATCATCCGAAAACGGAAAGAGTATGGCACAACTGCAAACCTCATACAACTGCAAACCTATCAAGACATGGCTGTCCACCTAAACTGAGAGGCCAGGCAAGGAGAGCATTAATCAGAGAAGCAGCCAAGAGGACCATGGTAACTCTGGAGGAGCTGCAGAGATCCACAGCTCAGGTGGGAGAATCTGTCTACAGGACAACTATTAGTTGTGCACTTCACAAATCTGGCCTTTATGGAAGAGTGGCAAGAAGAAAGCCATTGTTGAGAGAAAGTCATATGAATTCCCATTTGCAGTTTGCAAGAAGCCATGTGGGGGACACAGCAAACATGTGGAAGAAGGTGCTCTGATCAGATGGGACCAAAATTGAACTTTTTGGCTTAAAAAACAAAACTCTATGTGTGGCAGAAAACTAACACTGCACATCACCCTTAATACACCATCCCCACCGTGAAACGTAGTGGCAGCATCATGTTGTGGGGATGCTTTTCTTCAGCAGGGACAGGGAAATTGGTCAGAGTTGATGGATGGAGCCAAATACAGGGCAATCTTAGAAGAAACAATAAATGAGTGCGCTGTACACTAAACCAATCTGACATAATAACTAAACACAATATACCAAAAAATGGACCACAAATAAATATATGCATATACAAAATGTGCAAAAAATACATATGAAGTGCTAAAAGTCCATGTACATAATATAAATTACCAAAAAAGTCCAAAATCCAATGTGAAAGTGCTGCGTTCTGAAAAAATCCTGCAACAAATAGATCAGCCTCTTACCAGACACATTTATCTCCAATTAAGAGATCAATTAAGCAGATGGTATCCAGGTTCCACACTGACATCCGTGTTAGCCATATCAAGGGAGATGGATGGACGGCTGTGGGCTCGCCCAAATGAATTCCTCACATTGAACCTCTCTCCATACAGTGTAGTGAGGGATAGAGGAATTAAAACAGAAAAGTGCAACCAGATAAAACTCAAAAATGTATTCAGTAAAATATTGCACTTACAAAGGTAAGGTGCATAAAGGCAGTGTACAAATTCAAAATTCTCGCAGTGTCATACGGCTGGAACGTGGTGATGTCACAGAAGACTCTGCCCGATTTACAATTCCAGAGGACACAAGTTTTGGAGAAATGCATCGGGCAGAGTTGTCAGTGACGTAATCACATTGCAGGCGGTGGTATGACACCGCCGGAATTTTGAATTTGTACACTGCCTTTATGCACCTTATCTTTGTAAGTGCAATATTTTACTGAATAAATGTTCGAGTTTTATTGGGTTGCACTATGAAGTTTATTTTGTTTCAATCCCTCTCTACACTGTATGAAGAGTGGTTCAATATTAGGAATTTGTTTGGGTGAGCCCGCAGCCGTCCATCGATCTCCCTTGATATTGCTAACATGGGTGTCAGTATGGAATCTGGACACCATCTGCTCGTTTGATCTCTTGATTGCAGATCAATGTGTCTGGTATGAGGCTGATCTGTTTGTCTGTTGGAGGATTTTTTCAGCATGCAGCACTTTTACATTGGATTTGGGACTTTTTTGGTAATTTATATTATGTACATGGACTTTTAGCACTTTAGATGTATTTTTTGCACATTTTGTATATGCACATATTTATTCGTGGTCCATTTTTGGTATATTATGTTTAGGTATTGTGTTAGATTGGTTTAGTGTACAACGCACTCATTTTTTTTTTTTTTTTCTGGTATTCAGGAAGAGAGTAGCGGCAGTTCACTTTATTTATTTATTCATTAATTTATTGCAATTGATATTATATTTTGTCACTTTCATTATCTGTTGGGTGTAGCGCAGGTTTTCTCTTTTCACATAATCTTAGAAGAAAACCTGCTAGAGTCTGCAAAAGACTTGAGACTGGGGTGGAGGTCCACCTTCCAGCAGGACAAAGACCCTAAACATACAGCCAGAGCTACAATGGAATAGTTTAGATCAAAGCATATTCATGTGTTAGAATGGCCCAGTCAAAGTCCAGTCCTACATTTAATTGAGAATCTGTGGCAAGACTTGAAAATTGCTGTTCACAGACGCTCTCCATCCAATCTGACAGAGCTTGAGATATTTTGCAAAGAAGAATGGGCAAACATGTCACTGTCTAGATGCAAAGCTGGTAGAGACATCCCCAAAAAGACTTGCAGTTGTAATTGCAGCGAAAGGTAACAGTTATACAAAGTATTGATTCAGGGGGGCTGAATACAAATGGATGCCACACTTGTCAGATATTTTTTTTGTAAACAATTTTGAAAACCATTTATCATTTTCCTTCAACTTCACAATTATGTGCCACTTTTGTGTTGGTCTATCACATAAAATCCCTATAAAATACACGTTTGGCTGTAACATGACAAATGTGGAAAATATCAAGGGGTATGAATACTTTTACTCAAGGCACTGTAGCTGAGGAATTTTAGGAAATTATGCTGTTTTCTGGGAATCAGACATGTGTCTCAATGCCAAGTGTACAAAAAGACCTGTTGTTTCAAAAATGATTCCTCTGAATTACTAAGCATTAGGTCTAAACCTGCATGGGCATTCTTAACCGCCTCCCGCCCGCCATATAGTACAATGACGGGTGCAAGGCGGTTCTCTCGTTCTGGGAGGACATCATATGACGTCCTCCCATTCTAACTGCGCATGTGCGGCTCTGGGAAAGCGCGGCGATCAGCGATGCGCTGTGTCCCTCGGACACAGCGGATCACCAGTCAACGGAAAGAGCCGAAGATGTCGGCTCAGTCATGTGATCAGCTGTGTCCAATCACAGCTGATCAAATGTAAATAGTAAATGCTGGTAATCAGCATTTCTCTCCTCACGAGCTGTCACGCTGACAGCTCGAGAGGAGAGCCGGTAATTGGCATTCCTCGGAGGGGACATGTACACTGATCATCAGAGCACTGATGATCAGTGTGCCCTGATGATCTGTGTAACCCAGCAGTGCCACCTGTCAGTGTCCATCAGTACCAGCTGTCAGTGCTCATCCATGCCACCTGCCAGTGCCCATCAGTGCCACATTTCAGTGCCTATCAGTGCACATCAATGCCACATATCAGTGCCCATCTGAGCTGCCTTTCAGTGTCACCCATCAGTGCCACTCAGTGCTGCCAGTCAGTGCCAGTCAGTGCCGCCTATCAGTGTACATCAGTGCCGCCTATCAGTGCCCGTCAGTGCTGCCTATCAGTGTGCCGCCTATCAGTGCCAATCAGTGCCGCCTATCAGTGCCATATATGAGTGCTGCCTTTCAGTGCCCATCAGTGATGCCTGTCAATGCCCATCAGTGCCACCTACCAGTGCCTTCTCATCAGTGCCACCTATCAGTGTCCATCATTGCAGCCTCATTAGCGCACAACAGTGATAGAAAAAATATCACATACTTACAAAAATTTTATAACAAAAACTAAGAAAAAACATTTTTTTTTCAAAATTTTCAGTGGTTTTTGGTTTGTTTAAGAAAAAATAAAAAACCCAGAGGTGATTAAATACCACCAAAATAAAGCTCTGTCACAAAAAAATTATAAAAATTTCATATGGGTACAGTGTTGCATGACTGCACAATTGTCATTCAAAGTGCAACAGCGCTGAAAGCTGGAAATTGACCTGGGCAGGAAGGGGGTATAAGTGCCCTGTAGACATGTGGTTAAAGAAGTACAGACAAAGCTCTTTTGGCTGTACTTCTCCTGTGGATCACAGGAGTGCAGTTCGTTCTGCACTCCTGTGACCAGTTTTCTGCTGACAGTGAGCAGAAGCCCGCTGTTGGCTGGGCAAAGATCCCGACTTCAAAGTCGGGATCCACCCCAGAGTCTGGAGTGACACCTGGCTCAGCCTCTCAGCGATGTGCTGAGAGCTTGAGCCAGCTGCTTCCTGCACAGCCCAGCGCTCCAGTGAACGTTGGGGGGGGGGGCAAAGCAGACAGTGGTGATTGACAGTCACTTCTCTCTGCTTAGAGCAGAGAGGAGAACTCTGCTGAGACCAATGCTGCATGCGCCTAGATAAGTATGATTTACAAAAAAAAAATAAGTACCATATTTCTTTTTTAATGCTGACCTTTTTAAAATGCTAGTTATTGGACTAATTCTAGTTTCAGTTCTTTTAGTCAATTGCCTGGAACAATCAAGTAAAATCACATTCAAATCAAACCTGAATACATATTTTGGGCCAATGACTTAAGCCGGCCATAGATGGATCGAAACTTGTCCGGTTTAGCAGGGACTGGCCAAGATTCGATCAAAGTATCCCAGATGGAAGAAAAATATATTTGAAATATATTTTAAAAATATTCTTTCCAAATATATTGCCATATATTTGAAATACTACTGTTTTGGCCATATTCAATATATTTCAATATATAAATATATATATATATACACACACACATTACATGTTGAAATGCGTTTTTATTACAAAATATATAAAAATATTTTTAAAAATATATTTCAAATATACTGCATGTCTTTATTGAAATATATTGAATATGGCCAAAATTGCAGTATTTCAAACTTATGGCACTATATTTGGGAAGAATATTTTTTTAAATATATTTCAAATATATTTTTCTTCCATATGGGATGGGCAGGCTGGCTGTACTGAAGTTGATTTATTAGTCATCTTGGGTACAACCAGCCTGCCAGATTTTTTGCATGTGCACACTGTCGGCGGTGGAAGAGTAGCTTCATATAAAGATTGTTTTTGTTTACATGTTCATGTTCTATTCATAGTGTTTCTTATTCTCTCCCAGGGGAGTATTTCTGGCTGGAACCTAAGAACGCCTTTGAGAATTTCCAGGAGCCAGATATTGGTCTCATTGCCTTAGCATTTTGCAGGGATCATTCGCTTATGGTGGCTGGAACTTTCTGAACTACGTCACAGAAGAGCTAGTGAATCCCTACAAGTATGTATGATTTACAGATACCAGGTGGCTGATGATTTCATGGATACTCCAAATGGAAATAAAACATGATGGTAGTACATGTGTTATCCAATGACCAACATGATATTTTTAAGAGTTTATATAACTCTGAAAGGGAATAAAATACTTGTAAACATACATATACCATTATTATGACAAAGGCTCCAGAGAAAGTCTTCATATATGCAATATATTAGGTGTCAACATTCCTACTTCATTGGTGCATTGAAAAACCCATACTGATGCCCTATGTAGAATGCAGATAATCCAGATACTATTTTATAATAGAACTGAATATTTGGCAGGAATGAAAAATATATTCTTTTTTTGCAAAATATAGTGCAATGGCTGTTATGCAAAGGAGACCCCTATGTTGATGACCATTTTAATGGAAAACGCTTATTGAATTTTACCATATCTAAAGTTACTGTCAACTCCTTAATTTTTCATACATTAGGCAGTGATGTGTTTTACCTTCATCAAACAATCGGATATCAGCTTTTAGCAAATCAGTTAAAACACTTGGATATCTTTCCATCAGCTTTCAATGAAAAAAAATGGTTGGCCATAGATGGATTGTTTTTTTTTTTTATTCAATCAGTGGCAGCCATTTGGCAGTTTTGGAAGCCTTCCACAGTTTCCATTGTTTCTCAGTTTGATGAAGTCAAATGAAATTGAATTGGGAGCCCATCCAAAATTGTCTTTCTATCTGCATGCAGCAGTTTTAATTGGTTTCCAATGCAGTGTCAATCCTTTGCCTATTTGAAACAAAAAATGATTGAAACAGTGAGTGGCTGATTGCTGTGGACTGTTCAATTTCTTTAAATTTTTTTTTTTTATAAAAGCTGAAGGAAAGCTTCCAAAATTCCCAATTATATGGCCAACCTTATAATGGTCATACAAGCCTGATAAATACAAGCAATGTGACAGAATCCAGCTTCGTCTTTGACAGCTGGGCCATGGAGATGTAACAGAGCAATATCCTCTGCTTATTTAAATGTCAAAAGTAAGACTTTCGGACAAGTCTTTGGTGTTATTTACTAAAACTGGAGAGTGCAAAATCTGGTGCAGCTCTACACAGAAACCAATCAGCTTTCAGGTTTTGTTGTCAAAGCTTAATTGAACAATCTGAAGTTAGAAATTGATTGGCTACCATGCACAGCTGCATCATTTTTTGCACTCTCCAGTTTTAGTCAATCAACCCCCCACTCCCTTGACTCAAAAGAAACAAAAAAGAACCTTTCACTGCTTAGGATTGCACATCCTAATGTTAATGGGTCCCAGCGGTGGAATGTTGGAGTAGAGGAAGATTTCTCACTGCCCATTCTTCTTGGTAAGAGATCTGGACCTTTAGAGTTAATGTCTGTGTGTCAGGGATAAAACATGTGCAGAGAGTCTTAGTGGCATTCAGTATGATGAAGAATGGGAGGATATTTATTGTCCACTGTTGTTGGTGAAAGGTCCGACTCTCTATAGCTAATGTCAGTAGGCTCGGGATAAATAAGTGCAGTGAATCATTCAGTAAGAATGAGTGTAGGAAAATCTCTCATTGTTGTTGGTGAGACATCTTCCACACTATATATCTACTCCTCCTACCAGTCCATCCCCCACAGTTACTACCTTTTGTACCACTACCATCCCTCTTAGATTGTACGCTCCAAGGAGCAGGGCCCTCCTAACCCTCTTGTATTGAACTGTATTGTTGCTGTATTGTCTCCCTTTATATTGTAAAGCGCTGAGCAAACTGTTGGCTCTATATAAATCCTGTATAAAATAATAATACATCTGAGGTCTGTGGGTCAAGGATAAAAGGTGCTCAATGTTACTGGTGAGTGATCTGTGCCTTTATAGCTAACCTAATGAAAGCTGATATCTGAGACTGAGTGATGAGTGTTTTGCACCATGTGTCTAAACAATGCCTTTTGTATTAATTCTCCTTAAAGAATACCAACTGCTATGCTTAAGTATATAATCACTTTGCATCTGCATGTTAACAATGGGTACAGCTGTGGAATATGTTTGTACGAACAAACATTAATCCATATATTGATCATTTTTATGTAGCTAAGGTGAGTTGTAACCAGATAGATCTCATATTTTAACTGGCAGTTGACTCAGTTTACAAAGCTAACAAACCAGTGTCTGTATACTTATTTACAAAAATGTCCAATGACATTTGAAAATTACAGTCACATGTCTAAAAACAGTGCCTTAAACTGGTGTTAAAGGCTTTTGAGTTGGGCCTAATGCAAGTTACACTTGCCATTAAAGCGGTAGTAAACACTGCTGGTACACTTGTACCTATAGGTAAGCGTATAATAAAGCTTACCATTAGGTACAACGAATATCTCCTAAACATGCACCTTTTAGGAGATATTCTCTGTTACTGCAGCCGGTGATGTCACTGGTGCATGCGTTCTGAAGGGACAGCATAATCATTCCATCCCTTCAGGTCTGTGTGCTGCGGCTGTGACTCCCACACGCATGCAGGAGTGACGTCATCGTGGCTCGGCCATTCAAATGGCCGAGCATGCAAATCCAGAAGGAAGACCAGGTGAAGATGGAAGCGGCTGTGACTACCACACGCATGCAGGAGTGACTTCATCGCGGCGCGGCCATTCAATTGGCCAGAGCATGCGAATCTGGAAGGAAGACCAGGTGAAGATGGAAGCCGTGGTAAGAATGGCGAGAATTTCATAATGTGCTAGTATGTGAAGCATACTATGCTATTAACTTGCAGGAGGATTTTTTTTTAAAAGTTTACTACCGCTTTAAAAAAATTGATACAAACCCCCAGCTTGCTGCTGGTTTTCCTCATGTACTGTATGTGCAAAGTATTATTCAGTCTTTTACTATTGTGAGTAGTACTATTATATTAAAAGGGGACTGGAAAAGGGTAAGCTAAAAAAATATGCATGGGAAAGAGGGAGGGACCAACACATCATTTTCTGGGGTTTCATGCACTGGACTGCATAGGGGCCAAATTTCAAAAATAATGCATGAGCTATTTTCTTTGCCATGCATTAGTTTCTGACAACTACAAAAACTAATTTAACCGCTAAAGATTTAACACATGGATCAGCTAAGTTTGCTGTATGCATTTTACAGTAATTTAGTATTTTTACTGCCTACTGTTCAGTTCAAATCATGAAATTTACCATTTGGACTTTCATGGCCAATATACTTCCAGGCTAGAGTGAACTGTGCAGTTCTATGGCATCTCTTTTTAGGAAAAATAAAAAGGAACCATATGAGAGGGAGATAAAACATTGATTCAAAAAGAAAGATTTGTGAGGAATAAAGTATTGCAATAGTTCCATAAATATCTATCCATATGGAATATACATGTTTAGGTATCTAATGAATGACCATGTGATAAAATAATGGACACGGTTAAAATAGTTTAGTGAATTAGCCCCATGATCTTGTTCTACCCACTAGAAGGAAATTACATACAGGCATTAATTAATTTTATTTATTCATGTCAACTGCTAACTCTTTATTATAAAATATCCTTTACATTACATCAGAGTTCTTGTTTAAACTGTTGCAGGGTTTTCCAACATGCTGGGAAATCTTTGTGACTGCAGAGTTTTGCCACACTAAAGTGTTCATTATCTTTCGTTTATAACCCCATTGCAAAAATATTTCTTGCCATGCTCACCAGTATAAGCTACTGTGTTCCTGTTTGTATTGAACCTGTGGCCAGGCTATGGACTGGGGATAAGAGGGAAAAATTTGACTTCCAGTTGACTCCATTGCATTTTCCCAATATTTTACCTAAGGAGAAATCTCAGCTTCACCCAAACTTCTAGGGATGAGACATTTTGTTCAGGATATTTTCAGAAAAATACATTGGAGTCAATTGGAGGAACATTTTACTGTAATTCACCAAAGGTAAAATCAGTTATAGTGAAATGTGTTTTTATGGTCTTAACAAGTAGAAAGGATCTCAACACTGATATCTGTAGCTGCAGGCACTTTGGAGTAATTCAACCAGTAGAAGCACTGAAGTCACTCAAGTCATTCATTTAGCAGCTGTGTTCTCCCCCTGCAACACTACCTGCTCTGTGTTAAGCTGGCTATAGATGTATAAAATCTTGGCTGGTTCAGTTGGAACCGATCCAATTTTGATCCATCTATATGTAGGCTGGTTGTGCCAGTTGTTTTTTTTTTTTGTTGTTTAATCACTGCTGACAGCTATATCTGACAGAGGTAAACATTGTATTCTGAAGACTGGGAAATCTCCCACTATCAGAATACAATAGCTCTGTGGGAGGGATTCCCCCATCAACACTGACTGTGTTGATGGGGAAATCAAGCATTTTTCTTTCCTTCCACCCTTTGTTGAAGGAAAGAAAATTGCAAAAGGTATGGCCTGCCTTAGGCTAGGTTCAATCTGCTGTGATCTGATTTTGTGCGATTATGCGATACAACTTGGATAAGGTTTGTATATGGAGGCCAACATCATGCTGGAATCACACCAAAGTGGTACAGGAACATTTTCCAAAATCACACCATACTGAGTTGCAGTGAACTTTGACAACAATGTGATTTCCATTGTCATGCGATTCTGTGAGACACCAGTCACATTTGAAATCGTATTAGTGGGAATGCAGCCTTAAAGCCTAGATGGCTGGAAGGCTGCCGAGTCACTGCTGGAAGGGGGAGCCTTGGAAATGGACTTCTGCTGTGAACTTTGAGGGTTGACTGCTGGCCTGTTGGACTGTCCACAGGTTCACTTTAATTATTGGGAAGGAGGCTGCACTGGTATTTTATGGATTGATTCAACTCACAACATATTTGTGTCTTAGTTTTCTGTTCCAACAAAAACTAAGGACACAAAACATCATACCATATCCATGTCTTCATTTTGACTGGACTCACAGATGCACGTCCTTTAATATTTTTAGTTAACAAATACATGTAATATAAATTCTCACTAGTTTATTTTTCTCTCCGCTTGCTTCACCATCCATATATGTATCCATATCTCCCTCTAGTGGCAAAACTCAGTTAATTATTATGTCTTTTAACAGGAACCTCCCACGTGCCATCTTCATATCAATCCCACTTGTCACCTTTGTATACGTTTTTGCAAACATTGCCTATGTCACAGCCATGTCCCCACAGGAGCTACTGGCTTCCAATGCAGTAGCAGTGGTGAGTATCTTTAAATGACTCCAATTTTCGAGTAATGGGAAGGTAATTTCTTATTTTGATATTATTTACACAAACGCATACATTTTACTCCATCCTTCTAGCTAAAAGTATCTTATTCACACAACACATGTACTTTGCTTTTATGTCTTTATTTATGTCATTATTTATGTTTTTGCTTTATGTCTTTATAAATTTTAAATATGTAATTAACCTGTATCAATGTTTTTTCAGACATTTGGAGAGAAGTTGTTAGGCGTAATGGCCTGGATCATGCCAATATCTGTGGCTTTGTCCACATTTGGAGGCGTCAATGGATCTCTGTTTACCTCTTCAAGGTAAGAGACCATAGATGTTATAGATGTCTTGATGTTTGACACTGTAAATCGGGAGCAGAGCAGACTCATGGACATGTGAAAGCTCACAGCCTGAGATAATGGGACCCTATGATGATCTTTGATGTCTTAACATATTTGATCATACACTGTATTGCCAAAAGTATTGGGACCAATGCCTTTACACGCACATGAACTTTAATAGCATCCCAGTCTTAGTCCATAGGGTTCAATATTGAGTTGGCCCACCCTTTACAGCTATAACAGGTTCAACTCTTCTGGGAAGGCTGTCCACAAGGTTTAAGAGTGTGTCTATGGGAATGTTTGACTTTTCTTCCAGAAACGCATTTGTGAGGTCAGGCACTGATGTCAGATGAGAAGTCCTGGTTCACAGTCTCCGCTCTACAGTCAGGTCCATAAATATTGGGACATCGACACAATTCTAACATTTTTGGCTCTATACACCACCACAATGGATTTGAAATGAAACTAACAAAATGTGCTTTAACTGCAGACTGTCAGCTTTAATTTGAGGGTATTTACATCCAAATCAGGTGAACGGTGTAGGAATTACAACAGTTTGCATATGTGCCTCCCACTTGTTAAGGGACCAAAAGTAATGGGACAGAATAATAATCATAAATCAAGCTTTCACTTTATCATACTTGGTTGCAAATCCTTTGCAGTCAATTACAGCCTGAAGTGTGGAACGCATAGACATTACCAGACGCTGGGTTTCATCCCTGGTGATGCTCTGCCAGGTCTCTACTGCAACTGTCTTCAGTTCCTGCTTGTTTTGGGGGCATTTTCCCTTCAGTAACAAGTGGGAGGCACATATGCAAACTGTTCTAATTCCTACACCGTTCACCTGATTTGGATGTAAATACCCTCAAATTAAAGCTGACAGTCTGCAGTTAAAGCACATCTTGTTCGTTTCATTTCAAATCCATTGTGGTGGTGTATAGAGCCAAAAATGTTAGAATTGTGTAGATGTCCCAATATTTATGGACCTGACTGTAATTCATCCCAAAGGTGTTCTTTCAGGTTGAGGTCTGGACTGTGCAGGCCAGTCAAGTTCCTCCACCCCAATCTGGCTCATCCATGTCCTTATGGACCTTGCTTTGTGCATTGGTGCACAGTCATGTTGGAACAGGAAGGGGCCATCCCCAAACTGTTCTCACAAAGTTGGGAGCATGAAATTGTCCAAAATGTCTTGGTATGCTGGCGCCTTAAGAGTTCCCTTCACTGGAACTAAGGGGCCAAGCCCAAGCCCTGAAAAACAACCCCACACCATAATCCCCCCTCCACCAAACTTTAAACTTGGCACAATGCAGCCAGGCAAGTACCGTTCTCCTGGCAACCCCCAAACCCAGACACATCCATTGGATTGCCAGATAGAGAAGTGTAATTTGTCACTCCAGAGAACACATCTCAACTACTCTAGAGTCCAGTGGCAGTGTGATTTACACCACTGCATCTGACATTTGCATTGCACTTGGTGATGTAAGGCTTGGATACAGCTGCTCGGCCATGGAAACCCATTCCTTGAAGCTCTCTATGCACTGTTGTGCTAATCTGGAGGCGACACAAAGTTTGGAGGTCTTTAGCTATTGACTCTGCAGACAGTTGGCAACATCTGCGCACTGTGCGCTTCAGCATGTGCTGACCCCACTCTGTCAGTTTACGTGGCATACCACTTCGTGGCTGAGTTGCTGTTGTTCCCAGTTGCTTCCACTTTGTTATATTACCACTAACAGTTGACTGTGGAATATTTAGTAGCAAGGAAATTTCATGGATGGCCTTATTGCACAGGTGGCAACCTATCATGGTACCACGCATGCATTCTTTCAAAAAAGTTTTGTAGAAGCAATCTGCATGCCTAGGTGCTTGATTTTATACACCTGTGGCCATGAAGGTGATTGGAACACCTGAATCCAATGATTGGAAGGGTGTCCCAATACTTTTGGCAGTATAGTGTACATTATACCTTACTCTCTAGAACAGATCTCCAAACTGCGGCCCGAGGGCTGGATGTGGCTCTTTGCTTGCTTTTATCTGGCCCTTGAGGCATTATTCCTCCCACTGTCCGCATCAATGTGGCACAGTTCCTGCCACTGACAATGAGAATCTATTCTTCCCACGACACCAATGATGGGGCACTATTTCTTCAATTGATACCATCAATGGAGCACTATTCCACCCACTAATACCAATGATGGAGCACTATTGATACTAATAATAGGGCACTATGACTCCCATTGACACCAATGATGGGGCATTGTTTACTCCCACTGACTCCAGAACATTTTCTTCTCCCACTGGCCACAGTTCAGCCCCCTAAGGTTTGAAGGACAGTAAACTGGCCCTTTGTTTAGAAAGTTTGCAGACACCTGATCTAGAAGTATCAGTTTGCCAAAGTCGTATTGTATAGTGTGACAATTAAGTTACTGACATTAACCAAACATTACCCATTCTACTTTCTTAACACTTTCTGAAGAAACATGTGACATAGGGCAAATAACATTAAATTTCTCCTCTTTATTATTATATATGTTACCAGCAATGTGTGAAAAGCAGCCATTGTATAGAATGCCTAGGCCAAGGGTCTCCAAACTTTCTAAACAAAGGGTCGGTTTACTGTCCTTCAGACTTTAGGAGGGCCGGAGTAGCCAGTGGGAGTAGAAAATGCCCCAGCGTCAGTAGGAGTTAAACAAATGACATAGTGCTTATAGTCAGTGGAAGGAGGAGTAGTGCCCAGTCATTGGTCTTAGTGGGAGGAATAGTGCCCCATCATTGGTGTCAGTGGGAGGAATAGTGCCCCATCATTGGTGACAGTGGGAGGAATAGTGCCCCATCATTGGTGACAGTGGGAGAAATAGTGCCCCATCATTGGTGACAGTGGGAGAAATAGTGCTCCATCATTGGTGACAGTGGGAGAAATAGTGCTCCATCATTGGTATCAGTGGGAGGAATAGTGCCCCTTCCTTGGTATTAGTTGAAGGAATAGCACCTAATTGTTTATATCAGTGGGAGGAATTGTGCCCCATCATTGGTGTCAGCAGAAGGAAAAATGCTCCATAGTTGGTACCAGTGGAAGAAATGGTGTCTTCTTGTTGGTATCAGTGGGAGGAATAGTACTCCGAGGGCAAGATAGAGGCAAGCAAAGGGCCACAGTTTTGGAGACCAATGGCCTAAGCAATCTATACAATGCATGATACTTTTAGGCAAACATGGAATTTCAGTGGTTTGTTAATATGCTGTATATTTCCCTGAGCATTGTAGATAATACCAGACATTATACAGAATGACAAGTAGTATTTATGCAAAGTATGAAAAGAGAGTCATGAAAAATTGAAAAAAGACATTTATGAAAGAAGAAATACAAAATAAAATACAGGACTTTTTTTTTACTGGAAAAACAGAAAAAGACCAGGATTGACCTTTTGTTGCAACGAGGAAGGCCAGTATTTTCTACCACGCGGATTTGCCTTTTGGCATAAAATGCCTAGGAAATGTGTGAAATATTAAAGTGGTTGTAAACCCTTACATATACTCAGTGAAGGGACTGGCCTCAGGTGATATATAGATACAAATAATCCTACATAGTTGTACCTGGTTATCTGAAGTCTTCTGTTCTTTACATCAGTTCAAAGTGCAGAATTTATATAGCTTGTCTGAGCTTTCAGAAACCAGGGACAGAGAGCTGAAATTACACACTGCAGAGCTTAGTGAGGAGAGCTCTGAGAGTTGATTGGAGGGAAGGGACACACCCCCTTCACACAGGAACAGAGCTGTGGTTGTTTTTCACAGGCTGTGTGTTGAAGATCCCTCCCCTGTCACCTTTTTTCTCTCTGTGTCTGATAAACTTGTCAGAAGTGATTCATGCTGATAGCAGAGGAATGAAGCAGCAGACAGAAATGACACTAAGTGCTGTGGATTGAAACAAGTACACACTGTAGAGGGATATGCTGTGTTAATATTTCATGTCTGAGGTTTATATGATTTTAAGCATTTCACACTTTGACATCCCATTTTTGTCATTCTATAAATTTCCTAGGCATAATATACAATACTGAATTTCACACATTGACAATAACATATATAAGGTTCAGGAATTACAGCTTGCAAATGAACCAAGAGTACTGTGAATACAGATCTAATGATCACTTGGATGTCAGCAGCCATTAGACTACAGCTCAGTCACTCTTTCCTGATGGCTTGTTAAGGTGGAAACTAGCCAATTTTTTTGTCATTTTGCATAGAGTGGAGTAGGGTTAGAACATCTGTCGGTTTATACTGCTGTCTGTGTTACTATTCCAAAGATTTCCCCTTTACTTTCTCAATAACTGTTGTAGGTACAGGTACCGAGGTGAAAATCTCTCTAAGTCAGGATGCAGACAACAGTATAAAATGAAGAGAGGTGATAAACCAAGAAAATTGTATAATGTATGACCAGCTTAAACTGTCTCCCACAGTACACAGAATATGGAAATGCAATTATTTTAGTAAACATAAGCTGCTAAATACCCTTTCTCATCTGCGGTTAGATCAGTCTTGTGACTTCTATCAGTGTCCATCAGAGCACTGGTTAAAGCTTGTAGGAAGAGTTTTCATTAACCTCTGATTGTCATATGAGGCTGCATAACCCCTGACCCCTCTGTCTGGACAGCGCTGATTGGCCCTGTACTTATCACATGCACTCTCCCAAGAAAAAAAAACTCTCTAGCAATACACAACAAGCTGAGCATGTGCAACTTGCCCCCAAGGCTTTGTTCTATCAACAGATGGATTGGGGACAGTAGAAGAAGGGGAGGATCAGAGAAGACAGGATAAAACATCATGCAGAGGATTAACCCCTTCCACAATGAGTATAACAAGCATGCTTTACTGCATATACGCACTGATTTTGTTGTGGGTTTAGTAACACTTTAAGTGGTTACCACTTCCTCCTGGTAGCACAATCAGTTTGAATCCCAACCATGTAACTATTTGCCTGGTGTTTGCATGTTTTCAAGTGCCTGTGTGGGTTTCCTCCGGGTATGCTGGTTTCCTCCCACACTCCAAAGACATGCTGGTAGGTTAATTGGCTGCTGTCTTAATTGGCCCTAGAATGTGTATATATGAATGTGAGTTTGGTACCTTAGATTGTAAGTTCCTTGAGGGCAGGGACTGATGTGAATGTACAAAATATATGTAAATTGTTGGTGCTATATAAGTACCAATAATAAAAATCAAAATGTGTTTTCATTACTATATGTGTCTCCAGATTCCTTCTCACTTCTTGTCTCATTTGGTTCAAAACTACAAAAAAGCTATTAAATGGCATTCCACTTGTTTCCTGAAAGAAGCAAAGCATATTTTAAACAGTGGGTCATCAGGAAAATCCAGGCAGTAGTCATAAATGTCACATGCTGACACTGGAATATCACATTTGTAACATTTTTAAATTTGTACTAATGATGGCCCGTCTATTATGTAAAGCCCACCAAAAGCAATGTATTGGTCGTGTAAATATGGCTTGTTTTTTTTAAATTGTACTTCGATGATATGAGTGTAATTACTGACTGCACATGTTGAAATGTCATACTTGAATTAACTCAAACAAGACTACTCTTTCCATAGACTGTTTTTTGCGGGTGCAAGAGAAGGTCATCTTCCAAGTATTTTGGCCATGATCCACATCAAACGGTGCACTCCAATCCCAGCACTGCTTTTCACGGTAATCCCTTGGTTTTACTACACTACTGTTGTTTGCATAACATCTGCCCTTCCAGTTTAGCTTCCACACCCCTTCTTTTGCTTTTCTTGTGTGCCTTTGCTGTACAGAACAGAGACAGAGTTTTATTAGCCATCTTAACTAATACTCATTTTCTCCCACAGTGCCTCTCTACTCTGCTGATGCTGGTAACCAGTGACATGTATACTCTGATTAATTACGTTGGCTTTATCAATTACCTGTTCTATGGGGTTACTGTGGCTGGTCAAATTGTCTTAAGATGGAAGCAGCCAGACATTCCTCGACCGATCAAGGTAAGTGAGACATAGTAAAAGTGGAATACCTAAAAGGCAAAAAAGATACATTTTAAAGGTAAGCTGTGATTGACCAATTCAGGGAAAAGGAACAGTTTCATTTGACTACTGCTTTTTCTAGATGCACGTATTGTACTTGCCATTCTCTCACTCCCTTGTTGTTCCCCTTCCCAGTCAGGAGACATGGAAAGTTATCTGCAACCTAGAGCACACACAGGGTTGAGGATTCTATCCCTGCCTCCATGTCACAGCACTGGGATCAGCCATTGCCCAACACAAGTGCTGTGATGAGTGATTCATATATTACATCATATTTAGAAGTTCCAGATATTTTATTTTGCTTCTTTTAGACAAATGGAGGAGTGAATAAAAGGTGAACGTGCTACTAGTTGGATCACCATTAAAGTTAGCCTGTTTTTTTGTTTAGCTACACATTAGCTTTAACCACCTCCCGACCGGCCATTGTATATAAACGGCTGGACGGTGGCAGTGCAGGGTCGGGTGGCTGTTTATAAACGGCCTTCCTGCACCCTGCTTGTGCGCACTCCCCGGGAGCGTGCAGCACCGCGATCCGGTGCCCGCTGTGTCCTCTGGACACAGTGAAACACCGATCGTTGGACGAGGTCCTGATCATGTGATCACTGATTGGCCAATCAGTGATCACATGCAAAGTAGTAAGCAAGATGTCACTTGTGACATCATTGCTTACTACTTATAGAATCTGTGAATAATCACAGAGGTCACATGGTACACGGCTATTCACAACAGCCTTGTACCATGTGACAAGCTGTGACCAATCACAGCTCACTCAGTAGTTCTCAATGGCTGCAAGAATGCAGACAGAGAGAAAGATAAATGATTGCTTTTACATCCTATATGGGTGTAAAAGCAATCAGTGTAAAAAAAAAAAAAATCTTCATCACCCCCCAAAAGTAGTACAGTGTCACCATGGTGACACTGTACTGCTAGGGTGACAATATGTAAAATAAATAATAAAATAAATAATAGTATAAAAAAAAAAATGTTTGGCTTAATTTTGTTTTTTACTAAAAAGATAACGGAATAAAGTTTGGCCAAGATTTATGATGAAATATTATTTATTTGCAAAATTTTATAAGAAAAACACTTTTTTTTCAAAATTTTTGGACTTTTTCATTTACATAGCAAAAAAAAAAATATAAAAATCCCAGCGGTGAATAAATACCACCAAAATAAAGTTATATCTGTCTCAAAAAAATGGTAAAAAATTCATATGGGTACAGTGTTACATGACCGCGCAATTGTCATTCAAATTGTGAGCGCTGAAAGCTGAAAATTGCCCTGGTTAGGAAGGGGGTAAAAGTGTCCGGACTGGAAGTGGTTAAGGGCTCCAAACATGATAGATGAGTGAATCATATGGCCATCTTGTGTTGTTCATCCGTCATGTGTTGCCATGAATGAGACGTTATCAGTGTTATAGGTGGACTATCCTCTTCTGGGACATTCATTTGTCAACCAAAAGTACATAACACATAGGAGTTGATTTACTAAAACTGGAGAGTGCAAGCAGCTCTGCATAGAAGCCAAACAGATTCCATTTTTTTTTGTCCAAGTAATTTAACAAGCTGAAGTTTAAAGCTGATTGGCTGCCATGTACAGCTACACCTGATTTTGCACTCTTCAGTTTTTTGTAAATCAACCCCATAGCTCAATAAGTACACTTTTATTTTATTCTGTTGGTTGAAAAAAATAGATGCACAGATATTAGGTAGGGAAGGTTGTAAGAATTGGCAGGAAATAAGGTAAATGCTAAAGTCTTGGAAATCTAGAACCTCTGTAAAACGTTGCATTATGATGCATCTATAAGAGATGTGTAAAAGCAGAAAAGTACTCTTTTCAATAACTGTGTACAATAATTACTCTCTTTTTTCAACAGGTTAACCTCATTTTCCCAGTAATCTACCTCCTCTTCTGGGCCTTCTTGCTTGTGTTCAGCTTGTGGTCTGAGCCTGTTGTCTGTGGCATTGGTTTGGCCATCATGCTTACTGGAGTCCCTGTCTATTTCTTGGGAGTCCATTGGCAAAACAAGCCCCAGTGCTTCAATAACTTTGTTGGTGAGTTGTCATTTCACTTTCATCCTCCTCCTCTACTTTCATCCTCCTCCTCTTCATACCTTACTTTTAAAACATTGGATTTGATTTATGTCCTTCTCACAGGGGTGTGGAAATTTTTTTAAAAAGTCCAGGGACTAAATCGGTGTCCCAATCTGCTTGTCCCTCATGACAATCTACTTGTCCTGATCAAAAAAAACATTTTTTTAACCAAAACCGTATTTAAATCAGAGGTGATTTTAGGAATGTTTTAAAAACAAAATGGGTTTTATGGCGACTTAAACGTGTAATAATTTTAACATTGCGCTGTTTATCTCCTCCTCCCCTCCCTGCCTGTCTCCAGCACCACACCCAGGGACTGGCAGGGAGGAGAGAGACCCTGCAGTGTAATGAGCACCAATTGGCTGCTCCTCAGGAAAGGGGAGTATCCTTATCCTTTATCCCTTTCACTGTTAGAGCCGTTTTTTTTGCGTTTTTTTTTTTTTTTTGCACAAATTTAAAAAAATAATTTTAGGCTTGAAGATTACACAAAACCCCCAAACATGATATATTTTCTGAAAGCAGAGAACCTAGAGAATAAAATAGTGGTAGTTCCAATTTTTTATGTTGCATGATATTACCATAGCATTTCAGTAAAAAATGCAAGTAAGTTAATTTTAGGGCACAAAAAAAAAAGCAATAAAATACCCTATTTTTTTGTAATATATAAAAGATGAGGTTGCAGCGAGTAAATGGATATCCAACATGTCAAACCTTAAATTTCTGCGGGCTCATAAAATGGCGACGAACTTCAGTACCCTATATTTTCTATAGGTGATGCTTTTGAAGCTCCTCATAGGTCATCAGTATAGTGTTACGGAGGAGGTCTGTTGCTAGAATTATTGCTCTCATTATGTGTCCTGTGTATCACAATCGACACTTTCATGCATAGGCTCCCCAGCATGTGCTTTTACGTTTGTACATGCGTATATGTGGGGGGGGCCTCAATTTTTTTTTTTTTTTGGGGGGGGGGGGGGGGTGATGTTATGTGCTTGGGTGTAACTTTCTTTTTGTACAATTTAAAAAAAAAACCCTTTTTTTTCTACTTAATTTTTTTTTCAACACATAGGGGATATGATAACTTTTGGTGACAGGTTCTCTTGATTGAGACATCCCAGGTCTAGAAGACCCTGGATAGCTTCCCTGTGCTCCACTGAATGTAATGCAGTACAGTGCAGTGCAGATTCCATGGCTGGGAATCTCTCAACGGGGACCCGGAGGTGACATCATAACATAAGGACAAGAAGGGGAGTGGAGTGGACATGTCCGCTCTCCTCCCTCCCCTCTAGCCGACGGTCTTGAGCTGGTCCCAGGCCCGCAGATGGGCAATTGGAGCCCGGGAGACAGTGGGAGGGAGGAGGTTCACACGGGGGGGGGGGGGGGAGAGAGGCTGGCACTGTATGGAAGCAAAAGGCGGCCTGAATGCTTCCACCTGACAGGTGAGCCCTGCTGCTTGCCCGCAGCAGGACTAAAGGTTGGAAATAAAATACTTGCTTGGTGCCCGGAACTACATGCCTTCTCACCTCCGCCCACTGCTTCCATATCTTTCTCCAAAGTTCTAGAGCAGGGGGAAATCCCAGAGAGCTTGCCTGCAGAGCCTCTCATCTCTGACCTAAATTTGACCCTGCTAGCTATCACACCCAGGCTGCTACTTAGCCCTCCTAGCTGGCAATTAGAGTCTAGCTCCCCCTAGCTGACTAGGAGGGTGCTACACAGTCAACTCATCAAAGGACTGATACATTGAAATATATTACATTTTGTTCTTGGGTTTAGATAACCTGTGTTAGGATGGGATCAGACCGAGCTTGGAAATAGATTAAAGCAGAACATTAAATGACAATATAAAGAATCAAGCAAAGTCTGTAGATAATGGTCATAGAAGTGACTTTTATAGCCATAAAATAAGTGGAGATCTCTAGAACAAGAAGACCTCTTCTTAAAACTACATTTGTACATGGTGGATCTATTAATTATATATCTTATTGTGCCAGAGGGGGACAATATAGAAAAATATGGTACTATAGCATTAAGCTGTCCATGAAATGTAGAAATGCCTTCATATCTCTTTGTATAAACACTTGCTGAATGCCCTGTAGCAGTTTTACTGCTATAGTACGGCCGCTGTGCACAAAATCACAAATATTGACATGATTTAGCATCTCCGGGTAGGGGGCACGCACGCTGTCCAACCCGCGCTGCCATTGGTTCCTGTAGGTGTTAATCACCATTTCCGGCAATTCATGGCTGGGACTTCATGATCGGCAGAGTAGCTTTTTATTGGATATGTTTTATAGCAAAAAGTAAAAAATATTGTTTTTTTTTTTTTTTTTCATTTATATTGCAAACGATAAAAACCCTAGTGATGATCAAATACAACCAAAAGAAAGCTCTATTTGTGTGAATAAAAATGATATAAATTGTATTGGTGTTGCACGACCACGTAATTGTCAGTTAAAGTAGCGCAGCGCTGTATAGCAAAAAGTAGCCTGGCCATGAAGGGGGGTAAATCTTCCGGAGGGCAAGTGGACAAGGAGAGATAATTACCTTTATGGCAAGAGTTATGGAATGGAGTTTCCTACAAATTGTTTTCTGGTTTAATGGTCAGGATGTTGAATGAAAGAGTATGTTACCCCAACATTTCATATTCCTGATATGTGCCTGTTGTACCAAGCATTATTGCTTCGTTTGTGTGAAAACCTTGGTATTTACCAGTCTCTCTGCTCTCCTATTAAACACTGACCATATTAGGCATGAGGTGGTCAGTTTTCTGGCTGTGCTGGAAACTCAGCTTGCTCTTCTCCAATGATGAGATTTGTGCTAACATGCCCCCCCATTCCACATCCATTTACTGGGAAGGTCAGCGTTTTGGTATTCTTCCTCCCCAGCTCTCTAAGCTCCTTATGCAGCTGAGAACAGAGGGAATGTGATCACTTTTTTTTATAAAAAAGGGAAAATGGCATTTATAATGTTTTTTTATACGCACGTTTTACCTTTTATTTCTATGTTAAACTGAATGAGTTGATTTACTTTTAAGTATTTTCCTGTGTTTTTTATTCCCTAGATGCAATGACACGTGCTGGCCAGAAGCTTTGTGTGGTTGTTTATCCTCAGACAGATAGCAAGGATGATGATGTCAGTGAAGAAACCAAAGAGCAGAGAGCACCAATCTACAAGCCAGAGTCGGAAGCTGTTGATGAAGCTCATGCTTGAGCCCCTTCCGTTAACATGAAAAATTCACACCACTGCTACTGTTCAGACATGCTGTCAAGACCTTGCTGAACAGATTGGCAGAGAGATAGATGGATCCTGGATGTATGTGCACCTGTGTATATGTATATTTGAGAGTGTGTGCATGTGCATACACATTGCTGTGCACATAGACAGTGCCGACTATTGTATTTCCTGTCTCCATTGCCCTCAGGTAATAGTGGTATCCCAGGGTATAATCACTCAGTCAGTGCTATACTTTGTCTGTGTTTTGTGACACAGTCGTGACAGTCGTGCATTGTCCGTTTTAACTCAGTCTCTGCGTTGTACTGTGGACCTGTTCCTGATCTCCACTCCATACAGTGCCCTTTATTGCTGTATTAGCTCCCCCTGTGAGCAGAGGGAATAGTGGCCCTGATG